AAAAAAAAAAAAAAAAAAGAACTCATTGGCCAAGCACAGTGGCTCATGCCTATAATCCCAACATTTTGGGATGCCAAGGTGGGAGGATCACTTCAGGTCAGGAATTCGAGACCAGCCTGGGCAGCATAGTGAGACCCCATCTCTACAAAATAATTTTTTTTTAAATTAGCCAGGCATGGTAACGTGTGCTGGTAGTCCCAGCTACTCAGGAGGCTGAGGTGGGAGGATCACTTGAACCTAGGATTTAGAGGCTGCAGCGAGCTATGATCACACCACTGTATTCCAGCCTGGACAACAGAGCAAGACCCTGTCTCTTAAAAAAAAAAAAGAGGAAAACTATCAATCCAGTGATTCAAAAGCTGGTTTTTCAAAAGCTTTGTGATGGTGGAAAAACAAAAGAAAATAACAATTTTTTGAATTGGACGTTTCACTAGACATGTTAGATACATTTTCTCATTCAGTTTCTTTGACACCCCGTGAGGTAAGTATAATTATTCTCACTTTAGAGATCTAAAATGAAGTTCAGCGATCTTAAGAAATTTGCGAAAGATATTAACTGGCTAACAACAGAGCTGGGATTCAAGACCCGCTCTAATTCCAATGTCCATGCTCTTTACAATACACTACAGTTTTTGATGTAGTAGTATCTCTGAAATGTAGAACTAAGAACAGAATTTTAGAGGCACCCAAGAAATGATAATAGAAGAGCAACCACACAGGAGAACTTCAGAGATCATTAACAAAAGAAATATCATATAACATACAAGTAAAGTTATCACGAACAGTAAATGAGATTAGTTAGGTGCATACCACAGTACTCGGCATACTAGAGATGCTCACTGAATGCCCTTCTCTCCCTCTTCCTGGCTCTAAGACCAGAAATTATGCCACACAGCCTCTCTAATCACTGTTATTGTCTCTTAAGCCGTTTAGAAAATCTAGAAGGAACAGAACTTTGACAGAAACTTTATAGTGTCTTAGGATAATAGAACTTTATTTTCCAGAAGACCTGGGGATCATTTAATTTGGTTTTAGCGATACATACTAGATGTTTATCTTTGGATACATCTGTAAATCACTCAACATTTGAGTTCCTGCTTTGTGCTGCACTGGATACAAATGGGACATACAGAAAGAATGATGGCATTATCTTTGCTGTCAGGTGGAAATAGTATAATTACTCATAGTGGTATGCTAGAATCATTTGTTAAGATTTCAGTAATGGGGACTGGTATTTGTATACACAAGGAGTGCAATGCACACTACCCGAAGGATGGACAATATTTGAAACACGGACTTGGGTGTGGGAACCAAGGGCAACACACGTAACCTGAACATCTGTACCCCCATAATATGCTGAAATAAAAAAAAAAGATTTCAGTAATGTCTTAAACCATTGATGACTTAGAATTGGTTATGGTGAGAGTATTTACACCACAGAAAAGGTACAAATCACAGCTGGCTTTTAAAGTGCTTGCTGTTAAACATTTACCTGTATACCACATGCACAAGTAAATGATTATGTAAATGTAGGGCAGGTGCTAAGTCAACGGAATTAGACAGAGGTGAGTTTAATTAGGGAAATTTTCCTAAAGTTGATGAGACTTAAACTAAATTTTGAAATAGATAAGGGACATGAATTGTCAGAGAAGATAGGAAAGGGCCAATGACAGATGATTATTCTGAAGTGTTCTGTACCACCTCTTCCAGAAGCTTTGCCTGACACTTCATCCCTCACTAATCTTCCCCTTCTCTAAAATCTTGCAGAACTTATTATACTCAATTATGTGCTACAGATGACATGTTATCTTTGTATTTGTTTATTATTTTATGTTTTAGTTTTGTAAATCTAAAGACAAATTTTAAGCTTGTTGAGGGAAAGGACTACACATTAGACCAGGGTTCTCAAAGTGTGCAGACCCCTGGAGTCTCCAGGAGCCTTTCAGGGAGTCCAAGCAGTCAAACCTATTTTCATAATAATATTAAGAAATTATTTGTCTGTTTACTATGTTGACATTTGCACTGATAGCGCAAAAGCAATAGCAGACTAAACTGCTGACACCCTAGGTAGAATGAAAGCAGTGGCACCAACCTGAGTCAGTAGTCATTGTATGCTTCACCACTACACACTCTCAGTTTAAAAAAAAAAAAAAGCCAGTCTTAATTAAGAGTGGCTTTGATAAAGCAGTAAAAATTGTTAATTTTATTAAATCTTGACCCTGAAGTTCATGTCTTTTTAATATCCTATGTAATGAAATGGGAAGAACACAACAGGCACTTCTGCTGCATGTTGAATATAATGGTTGTCTTAAGAAAAGCATTATGGGCTGGGCGCAGTGGCTCATACCTGTAATCCTCGCACTCTGGGAGGCCAAGGCTGGAGGATCATTTGAGCTCAGGAGTTCAAGACCAGCCTGAGCAAGAGTCAGACCCCGTCTCTACTGAAAATAGAAAGAAATTAGCTGGACAACTAAAAATATATAGAAAAAATTAGCTGGATATGGTGGCGCACACCTGTAGTCCCAGCTACTCAGGAGGCTGAGGCAGGAGCATCGCTTGACTCCAGGAGTTTGTGGCCTGGACAACAGAGTAAGACTCTGTCTCAAAAAAACAAAAAAAAAAAAAGAAAAGAAAAGAAAAGCATTATGTGACTGTTTGAGGTGTGAGCCCAACAGGCCTCTTTTTTCACAGAACATCATTTTTACTTGAATGAACAACTGACAGACAAACTATGGTCATGCAGACTTGGTTACTTTGGCAGACATTTTCTCAGAAATAAACAGAGTGAGTCTGTTGCTTTAAGGAAAACAATGGACAATGTTTGTTACCAAAGATAAAATTTGAGCTTTGAAGCAATTTTAAATTTTGGAAAACTTGTATCTGCCACCATGAACTTGACAGTTTTTCATAATTTTTCTGATAAGATCAGTAGTGATGTTAGCAAGTATTTTTTAATATATAATGAAATGTATTAACATTTGGAGGATCTGCATGACTCAGTGGACTAATACTGTCCAGATGACATGTTATAGAATCATGTATATAAAAGATCCAGATGACATGTTATAGAATCATGTATATAAAAGATCCATTCAGATTGCAAGGTAGACCAATGAATTTTAATATAAGAGTACAAAAAGTTTATTAATAATAGTTTCAGATTCCACATTGCAACTAACTTTTAAGGAACTACCACTTGTTGCATTTTGGTGTAGTATCAAAGAAGACTGTCCACAATTATCTGAAAAGGCTATTAAAATACTCCTCCCTTTTCCATCTGCATGTCTGTGTGAGGCCAGATTGTCTTCATTTACGTCAGCTAGAACAACATATCACAAAAGATTGAATGCAGAGGGAGATGTGAGAATTCAGCTGTCTTCAACTAAACCAGACATTACAGAAATTCACAAAAATGTAAAATAATTCCATTCATCTCACTAAATTATTTTGTTTTGAAAAATGTTATTTTTTTAAAATAATGTTAACGTATAATGGTCTTGTTATTTTTAAGTGAATTAATAAATATTTAAATTGTTCTCAGTTTTACTTTCTAGTATTATAAATATCTATAGGTATAACACATGTGAATAGAATTTCTCAGAGGTGCTCAGTAATTTTGAAGAATGTAAAGGGGTCCTGAGCCCTCAAAATTTGAGAACTGCAGTCTTAGATTAATGTTATAACCATCTTCCTTATAGTACCTAACATAGCACTGCATATTAAGCACATGCTGGTATGTTCCCTCTCATTATACACAGAACAAATTTGAGAAGAAAGCTATTAATGAAACTGAAATATTGTGCAGACCTTGGTCTACTAGGCGATACTACATCAGAAAGACCCTACTTGATCGGGAAGCTATAACCAGGATTAGAATAAATACTTTTCTTAGAAATGTCTTGGTCCTGTGGCAAGTACTTCAACATAACCTCTCACAATACCAGCCATACGTGTCAGTTTGGTATTTGCTTCTATCAAAGAGCAGCTATCTGTTTGTTCTTTTGAGATTTTTCCTTCTCCAGTCTGAATCTTATCCTTACATGGGTGGGCCACTATATCACAGTCTGAGCCTATATGGCCTCAAGACAAAGTTATATTATAGTCAATCCCCTACAATAAAAGCCTTACTATAATAAATCTTTCTAAGTCCCACCATATGACCCATTTATTTCAACCAAAATTTAATAAAATAAAACCATTTGGATAGTCTCTTGGAGTCCCTTTGTAACAGGATTTGAGATACTATATAAAATCCTAACTGGATGACTCAACCATTGTTCAAATGATATTTAACTAATAGCTCCATCTATAAAATTATTTGAAGTTTCTCCTTAGAGCTCTTCCCCCTTCTCCTTGATGTTGAGGCTACTCACAATAAGGCTCACTGTTTCTTTCCCTGAAGGAGTGCTCAGATTGCTGACCTACAGCAGAAGCTGCTGGATGCAGAAAGTGAAGACAGGTCAAAACAACGGTGGGAGAATATTGCTACCATTCTGGAAGCCAAGTGTGCCCTGAAATATTTAATTGGAGAGGTAAACATCACTCTTCCTACCAGCAATTAGGAGTCCGGTTGTGTAGGTTGAAATAAGATGTTAACCTTGGAATACTGTCATAGTGTTATTGCCACTTTTCATAGTAGAAATCTCAATGACACTAACATTAATTAGAGAGAGGATTTAGTGGGTAAAGGTTCATGTAAGCAACTACAGGCCAGTCACTTACGAAAATATAATATGACTTGCAAATTGATATCCATTGTGCCTGGCATATAGCAAGCACTCAATAAATGTTAGCTGTTGTTATTAGGAAAAGACCAGGATGCCATAGTGGGTCACTGGCTAAACATAAACTATTATATTGTACTACTTTCTAAAACACCTATGAGATGTATATTCAAAAAGTTTAAGATACAATCTAGAAAAGGGAAAACCTAAGCATCTTTTGACACAAAAATTCATTTTAAGGCTGGGCACGGTGGCTCGTGCGTGTTATCCTAGCACTTTGGTAGGCCGAGGCAGGAGGATTGCTTGAGGCCAGGAATTTGAGACCAGTCTGAGCACGAGTAACATCCCATCTCTACCAAAAAAAAAAAAGAAAAGAAAAGTTAGCTGGGTGTGGTGACACATGCCTGTAGTCCCAGCTACTTGGGAGGCTGAGACAGGAGGATCACTTGAGGCCAGGAGCTTGAGGTTGCAGTGAGGTATGATGATGCCACTGCACTCTAGCCCAGGCGAGAGAACAAGACCCTGTATAAAGAAAAAAAAAAAAGATTCGTTTTAAGGTAAAGCCATCTTCACTACCTTAAAATTATATGTCATCTTACATTGTCATAAGAGGAATGAAAGTTGATCACCTCTGGCAATTGAGGCATTTTCACTCAAGACAAACGTACAAACTCCAAATCCGGAAGTTTGAACAGTGTTACCCTTTGTACATTTTTGTGTTGGGTTAGCAGATTTGTTCCACTAAGGAAATTCTGATTAGTTTGTGAACACTGATATTTACAATATTCACCATTTGGGCTAGTAGTGAAAGTAAAATTAGGCCAGCATAGGATATCAATGTAGCCTGAAAAGCCAGATCTGCATTCTCAGCTAATGTGTCTGCGAGTTCTGACATGTGAATACAGACATTCTGAAATGGGACATAATTAGCCATAAGGGTGTGTCCTGTGGATTTCTCTTTAAAATTAAGGAAGAACTTCTTAAATATCAGAATTTGGAGTTGTCAGATACTGTTTGTGTTAGGTTTACTCTTGCCTTGAGGCAGAGCAAGAAATAAAATGACCTTAGCGGTGGCTTCTAGCCCCAAGACATGTATCTCAGCAGAAATAAGGACTCTTGGCCTGGGAATTGAACAGTAGTGTTGTTACTATTCAATGTTAGAATCTATATGACATGAAAAAATAAGAATGAACTTAGACATGGAGGAACTTGTCTCAGACCATTTCAAGAAAGCTAACATTTTCCTACCTAATGAATGGGGGAGGGAGGAAGGTTGTCATTTTCCAAATAAACTGATCTTCTTTTATCCCTTCCAGCTGGTCTCCTCCAAAATACAGGTCAGCAAGCTTGAAAGCAGCCTGAAACAGAGCAAGGCCAGCTGTGCTGACATGCAGAAGATGTTGTTTGAGGAACGAAATCATTTTGCTGAGATAGAGACAGAGTTACAAGCTGAGCTGGTCAGAGTGGAGCAACAGCACCAAGAGAAGGTAAACTCTAGCAAGCCAAGAAGCTTTACAGAGAAACTAGCATTGTCTTTTGTTGTTAGTTAAAAAATGTAGTGGGGATATGAAGTTTCCTTCGAAAGGCCATGTGGTTTTTTCCAAATTTTGCAAATATGAAGAAACCTGAAACAGACAAGTGACTTGTCTAAGTTTACACATACCAGTGACAATCTCTGTTAGCCTCCAACTTGAATACTAACATTAACATGCTGAGAAACATCGGTGCTATGCTTACTCCTTCAAGCTGTGAGAACAAAAGATAATGGTTTTACTTCTAAATCACAAAAGTCACCTGGATCACTGCTTCAACTAAGTCAAAATTCCTTTTACCCTTGTTCTTTGATACTTCCCACTGGGTTGTGTCTTTCTCTAGGTGCTGTACCTTCTCAGCCAACTGCAACAAAGGCAAATAGCAGAGGAGCTAGAGGAGTCAGTCAGCGAAAAGGAACAGCAGCTGTTGAACACACTGAAGTGTCAGGTTTGATAACAAGGGAGAGGTCCTCAGAGATGGGTTTCATAGGCCTGACTGAGAATCCAGTCTCATTTAGATCATTGTACTTGTGGCAAAGAGTAATTCAGTGCTAAAAAAAAAAAAAGTTTATAATGGTAGCCTCTACTGTCTTTTGGCTCTATTTGGTCAGGTTGGTGGCACTTAGAGTATAGCCACACGTAGGAATAACCTCATTTTTGGTACCAAAACAAAAGTAAATACTCCATACCAGACTTTGAGGCCTCCTGGTTCTTTTCCTCAACCTCGAGCTCTGAAGAGTTGAGGAAGTGAAATCATCCAGTAGTTACTTAGCATCCTAGGGACATTCAGCTCTATCTTTCTTTTCTTTTATTTTTTTAGGCAAGCATCAAAATGAGATTTATTGAGGAGAGCAAGATAGGATTGTAGAGCAAGAGCAAGATATAGGTTTACAGAGTGAGATACATACGCCACAGATGACAACTGGACCCATTGTGGCAGGAAAGAGAGGGAGGGGACAAAAAGGCCAAGTCTATCTTTCTGAACTTGTTCTTCTGAGCTGAGACCTGACATGTTTGTGAAATGCCTGGGGTCTAAAATTCTTCTAGAGGCTGGGAACACCACACCCTTTAGTAACATGTTGGAGCACTACTTTAGTGCAGCTTAGAATCTTTTTCCTGACCCACCAGTTTCCTCGGCACCTCCCATCTAAGACATAACCAAGCTACTTAAGGTTGTATACATGAATCTGGTTGTCTTAAGTGCCAGAAAGTTTAATTAAGTTCATGAGAGTGGCAAATAAACTGCCTAGTCTATGCTGAGAAAGGTGAACAGAAGCATCTATAGACTTCAAGGGAACAGAACTAATTTTCTGTGGGTTTCTTAATCAGCATCCTGAGGTGAAAGGGGATATGAAGCTAGAGAATGGAAAAGAATAAAGAAGGCTTTTAGGACAGAGCCCATGGTCCCTACAAGTGTGGTCAGAGCTGCTGGGGAGCATCGGAATAGAAATGGCATTCAGGGTACCTAGGAACTGGGACTCAGACATCTTTCTGGGTGCCAATGCCTGCTGTGCAAAAACCATCTGCTGCCAGCAACTTGGCAGCAGTGTGTTTTCATCTATGTGAGTTGTTTGGTAACCCACATGTAAGGCCCAAAATAACCCCACATATCACTGCACTATCTGGAAATAGGATGAAGAACTTGAAAAGATGCGAGAAGTTTGTGAGCAAAATCAGCAGCTTCTCCAACAGAATGAAATCATCAGACAGGTAATACAGTTTCCCATTCACTTGACGAGCCCTGGAAGGCCCTGTTGCTACCGAGACTAGCTCTTGGGAACAACCCTCAGTATGGTGACTTGGCTCTATTTTATGAGGTCTACTTTGAGTTTCCACGTGATATAATTGTATACATTTCAAAGTGGTGTAAACACAAGTTTTAAAATTTGCCCTTTTCTGAATCTAACATTACTGATGTTGGAAAGTGGGAGCCCTTCAACCTACTCTACTGTAACCCTGCCTCACTGTACTGTGGTTTAAAATTGAGCTAGCTTAGGTCTAGAATCTTTGTGTTTTAGCCATGAGCACTCCCAGAAGCTGCTTTGCATTTATACACTTTGTCTCTTTTTTTTCAAATAGAAACTGACCCTCCTCCAAGTAGCCAGCAGACAGAAACATCTTCCTAAGGTTACCCTTCTATCTCCAGACTCTTCTTTTGAATATATCCCACCTAAGGTAATATGCTCAGTGCCTGGGATACCTTTGCATAGCCCAGATTTGGGGCGAGTGTGCTAAAATCACCTTTTTTAAGAGATTGAGAGTTAAAATCCCAAATTCTAGCGTCTCAATTTTCCCTGGAGTCCTAGATAAAACTACAATACGATCCTAAGGAAAATAGGCATTCTCCCTCCTCAGAAGGCTGACTAATGTGTTAGACATTATCTAACACAACTGAGGAGGAGGAACAGGAGAAAAGAACAATAATGTTCAGCTGTCCATCCAAAGATACTTATCTCATCCTATCATGAGTTCTCCCTTCCTCCCTCAGATTGGTCAGCCTTCAGTTTCTGTCCCTTCAAAGACTGTGAAGCCAAAGGCTAAAGCAGGTTTTCTTCTGATTGGTAAAGCCAAGTGGGGTATATTTGAGGGAGTCTGAAACCTCTGCTTTGAGAGTATGCCTGGCAACAGCTACTGAGAAGATATTATGCATATGTATTTTTAAAATTTTTATTAAATAAATGTTCCAAACTTTTTTTTTAAGCCAAAACCTTCTCGTGTTAAAGAAAAGTTCCTCGAGCAAACCATGGACATTGAGGATCTAAAATATTATTCGGAGCATTCTGTGAATGAGCATGAGGATGATGATGGTGACGGTGATGATGGGGATGATGAGGAATGGAAGCCAACAAAATTAGTTAAGGTGTCCAGGAAGAACGTCCAAGGGGTAGGATCTAGCTCTTCAACTCTGTCAGAAGTTCTAACCGTTAATATTCGCTGCCGCTGGGATAGCTTTCTGAATCTAGGAATGCGCCGGCCCCCTATCCTTTGGATTCCATTCAAAGGACACTTTGGATCCCATTCAAAGACTCCACTATGGGGTGGCTTTTGGGCCAACTCTGTGTAGAACCTGGGGCAGTATAGAGGGCTGCCTGAGTGTGCAGGTTGGCTCTCTTCGTGTTTTCAGGTTCTTTCCGGTCTGAATAGGTAGTATGCCATACCATTTCATTGAGGCTCATTCCAAAGTGACCATAACAATGCTTCATATTCTTATAGCACTTTACAGTTTACAAACCATTCTCATACGGTATGTCTTTTAATCATCACAAAAAAATCCAGTGAGGTATTTATTATTTGCATTTTACAGATGGGACTAAAACCCATAGAAGGGAAACAACCTTGTCATAAAACGAAGTGACAGTCAGGACTTGAAACCAAATATTCTGACTCCAAATCGAGTTTGTTTCCACCACACCATGGTCATGTCAGTAAAAACTACAGACCTGAAGCTAAGTGGGTACTCTATCTTCCTTGCCCACTAAAGTGATTTTGCTCACTAGGCTAAGGGGCAAAGGGAATTACAGGAAAAGCTAATAATTAAGATCAAACACATCAAGTTAAGGCTAGTTAGGAACAATCTGACTTAGGCATGCTTTATTTACTTACACAATGATAGTCCTACATAATTATCAAACCTAAATGTTTTACATTGAAACATTAACTTCCCAGACACTACAGTTCACCACCACTACCTCAACTGTGCCCTGTAGCCACATTCCACTTAAAGAAACAGTTCACAAATTACCTTAGCTGGTTTCCTAGAAAGTTTCTGTATTTGATTAGCTAATAGTTCACCATATGGGGAACTAAGCCTTGTAAAGCCACAACACCAGAGCAAAGCAAGTCACAAGGTATAGACAGCCATGGTGGTCAGTCATAGTCATCAGGAATGCAATATTTCATGCGTTCAGAGTTGAACTAAGAACTCAGCCTGAGAGAGTTTATAATCTAATGGGAAAACAAGCCAAAGAATAGAAGCATACTATAGAACCTCAGCATATTCATCTCAGAGAAATGGACTGAGGGTATTTTTTATTTTGTTTTGTTCAGAGACAGGGTCTTTCTCTGTTGCCCAAGCCGGAATGCTATGGTGCAATCATAGTTTACTGTAAACTCAAACTCCTGGGCTCAAAGCATCCTCCTGCCTCAGCCTCCAAAGTAGCTGGGACTACAGGCATGCCACCATAACCAGCTAATTTTTTGTTTGTTTGTGTTTTGTAAAGACATGGTCTCACTATGTTGCCCAGGTTGGTCTTGAACTCCTGGCCTCAAGTGATCCTCTCACTTCAGCCTCCCAAAGTGCTGGGATTATAGGCATGAGCCACTCTGGCTGGCAAGGACCAAGGTTTTTAAGAGTGACTATAAAGCCAAACCAAGGAGGTATAGTTTAGGAAGATGCCACGAAAGAAGTGACGATTGCTACATTATAAGACGAAATGGGAAATAAAGTCTGGGAAGCAACTGGGAGAACATTTCTGGCACAATAAATAGCATATTGCAAAGACTTGAAAATGGTAGCGAAACAGGGTTCGGACACTTGGAGAAAATAGGGCAGAACGTGTCTGTCTTTCATTTGCTTGAGAAGCATTTATGGATGCTCTACTGTGGTTGAAGTGGAGAGCGTGAGCTGAATGTAGATTAAAAGGTCAGTTAAGTATTAATAATAGGAGGCAGAGTTGAGAAGTACACACAGAAACAAATGGCAGAGGGCCTAAAACCTCTGGAAAGGAGTTTCCAAATGTGAAGCAAATGAGTATACTTGTCCTCAAGGAAAGCTTGATGTATTATAGCACTGTTGCTCTAAGCTTAAAAGGGAAATATAGAAGTACAGAAAATATTGCAAGTAAATAATATTTGCTATCAGTGATAAATCTTATTTCTAAAGCAATGAGAGATGATTCTTTTCTAGGCTTTTCCCACAATTTTATAATTTGGGAGGTGAATATAACTGGATTTTAAGGGGAGCAAGTTGGCCTAAAATCTACTTTCTCCCTTTTGGCAACCTCAAAGTACATGGATGTTTTGACTGCTTGTAGACACATTACCTATAGACCTTGATGCTTTGCATGAAGGCCATCTTTATTATTATTGCTTGAACCCAGTTGCAGGATGGTATTATTACTAGGTAACTAAAAAGGAGATTGCAGCAAGTACTAAAATGATGAGTTGCCCAGAGTTAATGGCTTCCTCACTCAGCCACATATCCTGTATGTACTAAGGAGATGCTGAGGGGTAGGTCATGTGCTATAGTAAAAAAAGTAATAACTTAGATGGCAGATAGACATGGATTCTAGTCTTGAGTTTGCCACTGATTTATTGGGTGACTTAAGCAAGTCACTTAATCTCCCTGGGCCTCAGATTCCTTAGCTATGCAACAGAGGGACTAGATTATAATAGATGACATATAAAGTCCCTTCAAGGGCTAATATCTTGAGTCAAAGTAGTAGTCAAAGTTGTATAAATGGTTGGCTAGCACTTGTGTTGATGAAAAAAGAGAAAAAAAGAAAAAAGGTTTTAATAATATTACCTTTATATGATGTTATGCGGTATCTGAGAAGTTAGAGGGAATACATGCAAAAGTACCTTGTGAAGGATAAAATATAAGTATTACTATTAAAGCACTGTAAGCATTTTACAAATATTCTCATCTGTTACCTTTGGCAGAAAAAAAGGCAGCAGGTATTCTTGTCTCTACCTTACTCTTCATGTTAAAATTTTGACCAGATCTTATCCTTCTGAGATACAGGGTAACACTGTAGTCAGCGCTAGGAGAATTATATACTCTAAAGCAGTAGTTCTCAACCCTAGCCACACATTGGAATTCCCAAGAGAGCTTTTAAACATGGAGCCTGGGACCCCACCCCCAGATGTTCTAATTTAATTGGTCTGAGGTAGGACCTGGCCTTTTTGAAAAGCTCCCCAGAGATTTCTTATGTGCAGCCAGGGTTGGGAACCACTGGCTTAAGGGAACCCCAGAGGTCTTTTGGCTCTATTTTGCACTCTTTATAAAGAGTCCCTCTATTACTTCTCAACTATGGTGCTGAGACATGCTGGTAGGTTGCCAGTAGTTGTGATACACACCCCCACACACATACATGTATATTTGCAGTTATGTCTGTGGTAAAGTCACACTTCCTTTCTGACATTCTGATCTGCTTCCTGGCGTGTGAGAGAATAGGATAAAGTTACAGCTTGAGCACGTGGCATGTGACTACATCTGTCATGTTTATCATGACTATTATATAATACCACTACTAGGTGTTTATCTAGCCTCTGCTTGCTTGAAGACTTCTAGTAGGGGAAAGCTCGCAGTCTCATGGGGCAGCCCATTGTATTCCACTAATTGTTAAAAAGTCCTCCCTTGTTTAGCTGAAATGTGCTGTCCTATAAATCATCCCAATGGGTCTTGGCTATGTAAAAGTCTAATCATTTTTCTTTAAGACAGCCCTTCAGATACTGCTCTCATGATAGTATCCCTTTGGATAAAATCGAGAAACATGGACAGGGTAACAGAGCATGTTTGAAGCATTTAGATGAATTTGTAAATGGCCAAAGGACCATACCCAGGCTATAGCAATCAACGGATCGATGTCATCCCGGTGAGGTATCCCTAGGACATGTTATAGAACTCTATCTTTTGCCCTGACCTAATCAAAGCAGCAAAGATTTTTTGTTGTCATAATGTCTAGTGCTGGCAAGGGTGACTAAGATGGGCATTCCTGTCTATTGCTATTAGGAATGTAAATTGATATACCTTTCTGGAAGGCAACTTGAAAAGGTGTGTCAATAGCCTTTAAAATGGTCCTATCCTTTGACTCAGTAATTATATGCATAGGAATTTATACAAAGGAAATAGTCATTGGTATGTAAATAGATTTATTCATTCAACAAATCTTTTCTGAGCACCTGTGTGCCTAGCACTATTTCTAGGTGCTGAGAATACAATAAACAAGACAGGTAAGACCCTTGCCCTCATGAAACTGACATTCTTCTGAAAGGAGACACACAATAACCAGAAAAACAAATAAAATAATTTTAGATGGTGATAAGAGAAAAAGAAAAGAAAATATATAGTGAAGTCATAGAGAATGATGGGGTGGGAAAAGAGCACTTTATTTTTTTTTTATTTTTTTTTCTGGGAGGAGGGGGCAGGGAGGGCAGAAAAGAGCACTTTAGAATCTAGAGTGCTTGGGAGAGGCCTATCTGAGGAGGAGATATCTAAGCTGAGATCTGAACAAAGTGAAGAGCAAGTCAGGAAAAGAATCAGAGGAAGAACATTTCAGGAAAGGGCAACAGCAAATGCAAAGACGTCAGGGCAAGAATGAGCTCGGTGTCTCAAGGAACAGCTAAAAAGGCCAGTGTGGCTAGAGTGTAGTAAGAAGTAGGAGAGTGTAGTACAAGGTAAAGTCAGAGGGGTAGTAAGGGGCCAGATTTTGGAGGGTCTTGTCAACCATAGTATGCTTTAGATTATATAGAATGATATTCACTGCAAGATGAATTATAACAGTGAACAATTTCTTTCAAACAATCTTAATAGTTAACATTAGAGGACTGGTTAAATAAATTGACATATCCGCATACGAAATATACACAACTATTAAAAATCATGTTTTTGATTTTTCAAATTTTATGAAGTGATATATATTATTCTCATAATCAGAAAAAAAATATGTTATCATGGTTTCTTTTACCTTCACAGCTACAGAACAAAGGTGATGGTTCTCATATGGAAAAGACTTAAGGGCTTGAATTTGACTGTAAACTCAGTATGAATCCACAAAGATGTGACAAGAGAAAAAAAGCAACTGTCATTTTAGCCTCATTAATAGGACTAATAATAAGGGAAGGTCTATGACAAGGGAAGTGTTTGTCACAATCCACTTGACAATGGTCACAGCACATTTAGAAAGTTGTAGTCATTTCTGGATCTCACAATTAAAGATGAACTTTGACAAATTGGTATATAGTTGAGGTGGTGAGGATACTTGGGAACCATGTCATGTGGCAAATCACTGAAGGAACTATGTTTATCTTTGAGAGGATTTGGACAGAGGAGGACTGGGGAGTAAAAATTATCCTCAGGGTTTTGAATGACTGTGCTACAAAAGTGGGGTTAAACTGATTCCATGTCATTCCAGATGGCAGAATTGAGTCCTGTGGTTAGAAGTTATGTAGAAACTATTATCATCTCAGGATAAATAGAGCTTCAGATAATTAGACCAGGGATGTTAGAAAGGGGCTTCGTACATTAAATCAGGCTTTAAATGACCACTGAGGTCTCTTCTGACTTTAACCCTTTAACCTGTGAGCTCTCCCACCTCTATCTCTTCCAAGCCAAACTATCCCACTTTCTTCCATCATTTCTCTTTTAGCATTGTTTCATATAATTCTGGTCACCCACCTCTTTTTTGTTTAATGCCCTCTTTTTTTAATTTTTTATTTTTTTTTAATTTTTTGGGGGGAGGGCGGGGGGACAGAGTCACTCTGTTGCCCAGGCTAGAGTGCCGTGGCATCAGCCCAGCTCACAGCAACCTCAAACTCCTGGGCTCAAGCGATCCTCCTGCCTCAGCCTCCCGAGTTAGCTGGGACTACAGGCATGTGCCACCATGCCCAGCTAATTTTTTTTTCTATATATTTTTAGTTGTCCAGCTAATTTCTATTTATTCATTCATTTATTTATTTATTTATTTATGGATGGAACTGGAGCTACATGTATCAACATATAATAAGATGCCATTTCTATGAAGTTTAAAAACATGTAAGACAATTCCCTATTTTTTTTTTTTTACAAAAACTCATATATGGTAAAAGACATGCATAGGAATGATAAACACCTAATTCAGGAGATTATTTATACCTGGAAAGGAGGGAGGCAAATGGGATCAGGAAAGAGTACAGAGGAGACCTCAATTATGTGTGCATTTTACTTATTAAGGGGAGTGGTGGGGACATGAGTGGGTTTTTTTAATTATTATTCTCTATGCTTTTGTATGCATGGAAAATATTATGGTACCCTAAGATAGGATACATTATTTCACATGGGGTCCAACTAAGCCAGGATATAGTGAAGTGATTGCTCCCTTATTTTCTGAACTCCAAATTTCTGCCTGACTGCATTTGGTTTTGGACAGCCATTTAACACTATTGATTCACAGAACTTGTTCACACCTCAATTCCCTAGGCCCTTTTTGCACAAACTACTTTTAAGCTAGATTACCCCCCCATATTGTATTTATATGGCTGATTTGGAGGGAACCTAAATAGAAAACTTATGTTTATCCTTGTTGTATCCTTTCTTTTTACTTTTAGCCCATAAGTCCAGACTGTCAAAATATTTTTGAATTATGATTCTGTTATCTTAATCATCCTTCCAGTTTTGTGTCATTGTTAAAGCCAATAAAAATGCCTACCTTGTAGACTGGTTATGAGATTCAAATGAGATTTTGTATTTTATATATATGAAAGTACTCTGAAAACTATACAGTGCTATCAAATGGAAAGGATTTTGTTTCATATCATCAGTGATTTATTAAAATGTACTGAGGACAAAGCGGGAAAAATGTTGAAATGTAAGTTGGATGAAAGTACAGTTAGGTAGATCTAAAGATATCAAGCAACTATACTCAGTCCTTAAACATACCTAAGTATACTACCATCCAGTTCACAGTTCTTCTCTTTTCCCATAAAATTGTCATAAGAGTCCTTGTCAGTTGTCGTGCATTGTTATGGTATCCCTCTGATCTTTCCTTCAAGTATACTATCCAAAAGAGAAAATGGATTTTTTCTGGAAAGACTTGTTCTATGGTAAACCTATGGTGGTTTTTGGTGATTATTGTTCCACTAAAGAAGAGAGGACTGAGGACACTGAAGCTTGGTAAAGATGATGGAACTGTCCATGTTTTCTAGAAAGGCTTATAAGGGAACTTACAAGGGAAGGCACTTTAAACTAGTCTTCTAACCCTTTTAGTAATATGTCTTTCTGCATATCTGTTTCGCAGTGCTCCTGCAAGGGCTGGTGTGGGAACAAGCAGTGTGGATGCAGGAAGCAAAAGTCAGACTGTGGCGTGGACTGCAGCTGTGACCCCACAAAGTGTCGGAACCGCCAGCAAGGCAAGGTAGGATTGGTGCTGTTTCCTCTCACCATCCCTTCAAACCTCCCACTAGTTTCCACCCCTTTTTTCTGCCTTCCATCCTGAGACATGGAGTCTCCTGCATAACTCTTCCTACCCTTCTCCTTCCTTCTGCACCCAGAAAAAGAGACATTTCATTTCTCAATCCTTCTTCCTTGCTGCTAGCCTGTCCACATGCCCCCTTCAGAAACCACACGTTTTCCCAGGAGATTCCCAGGTATACAGCTCCCCACCCCCAGCCTTGGCTGCAATGTTTCTGTATAATTTCTGAGGCAGAACAAGAAACAAGAAAACAGGCATTTACAGGCATATAGACATACAGGATCAAACTAGTCCAAAGGCTTAGCTGGAACTGTAAGAGCCACGTGCTGAGGCTTCCAAGGTGGCAGGTTCCTTCCAAGAAGGAAGTTAATCCTTCTGACATCTTGAGACATTAGTTACTTAGAACCTCTCCATGGGAACCGGCTATTCCATGGCTCTGGAAAAAGACCCACAGGAACCAGGCCTTTCTAATAGTCACTGTTGTGAATCAAGTTAACATAGCCATCCTAACATTACTCACAGGAATAGCAAACTCAGGGACACAAAATGTGCCCTTAGAAGAGCAGCACCAAGCAGGTCAGATCCCTGTACTTGCCTTATACCTACCTGTGCCCATGGCAAAACATGCATTACTACAGTTCTCAATGTGATATACAGTAATTCTAGCAAGCCTAACGATCATTCATCACGCATTTATTTTTATTTATTTTTTTTTTTAGACAGAGTCTCACTTTGTTGTCCTGGCTAGAGTGAGTGCCGTGGCATCAGCCTAGCTCACAGCAACCTCAGACTCCTGGGCTCAAGTGATCCTTCTGCCTCAGCCTCCCAAGTAGCCGGGACTACAGGCATGCGCCACCATGCCCGGCTAATTTTTCTATATATTTTTAGTTGTCCAATTAATTTCTTTCTATTTTTGGTAGAGACGGGGTCTCGCTCTTGCTCAGGCTGGTTTCGAACTCCTGAGCTCAAACAATCCGCCCGCCTTGGCCTCCCAGAGAGCTAGGATTACAGGCGTGAGCCACCGCGCCCAGCCCATCATGCATTTCTTGAACATTTGCCTGTGAACAGTTTTTCCCTGCATCTTCTATTACAAAGATTTCTAAGTTAGTAGGCATCAGAGGACGAAAGTGGCAAGCTAGAAGTCAGGCTAAGAACTGTAGAAGTAGCAGGGACCTTAAGGATTCTCTATGTCCAAGGTTTTTCAATTTGGGTTCTAGAGTCATGTAAGAGCTCCATGAAAGTGCCTCCTGGCAGAGGGGTATGGCCTGAGGTTGTTCAACCCCACTTCAACCAAAGTTCAACCAACTTGAGATTCCTCTTAGGATGTCAATTGTTAAAACCACTTATCTAGTCCAATACTTCCATTTTACAGAGATGTAAACTAAGACCCAGAGATAAGCTTAAGCAACTCACCTTATATTACACAGCTGGTCATGACAACTAAGATTAGGCCTCAGGCTTCCTGATGCTTAATCCAGCTCTGTTTCCATGACAACAGGCTATAATTCTAATCCAAGCTCTACTGCAGAATCACCTTATTACCTGAACAACTTCTGTTTCTTGGACGATGCAGTTTCCTTATCTGAAAGGAATACTAATACAGGCAAACACCCTATAGGGCTTCTAAAAAGGATATTGCAGATTGTAGAGATGACAAGTTTAATCAAAGAAGTGACCAAGGTTTGGCCTTGTTTTAAACCTTGCCTCATAAGATGTCTTGTGCTGCTATCCTACCCGGTCCTTTGCCTTCAGAGGCTGCCTCCAAGCAGGGCCTCCCTAAGGCTTGCTTAGACTGACTGACTAATCAGACACTCGGAGCTGTTACCTCACTGGTCAAAGGGGAGCGGACTTATTTTGTAACCCTGGGAGCCAAATTTATAGTATGCCTGTCTGCTTGATTTTTAGGATAGTTTGGTCACTATTGAGCGGACCCAGGATTCCGAAGGCTCCTTCAAACTGGAGGATCCCACAGAGGTAACCCCAGGAATGAGCTTCTTCAACCCCGTCTGTGCCACTCCCAACAGCAAGGTAGGCAGGTAGTGAAAAACTGTATTAGCGTCCTTCTCTGCATTAACTGTGACAGAGACCAGTGGGAGCAAGGCATTTGGGGTAAAAGTATAATCCGCTTGCTGGGAATTGGGAGTCAGGCACAGACTAGAGTTTACTTATTTTTTTCATAGAGCAATCTTAGGGGACAGCTCATACTACTGAGAGTATGTCAAGCATTTGCAGTGGCTTGGCTGGGCTGAGCTTCTGCCCCTTTCCAAGATCTATTCATACCTGTCTCTGTCCTCCCTAGATCCTGAAAGAGATGGGTGATGTGGACCAGGTGCTGCTAAAGAAGACTGCCCCAGTTCCCTCCTCCTTTGACCTCCCTGACTTGAAACACGTAGCAACAGAATCCCAAGAAAATAAGGCTCCAGGGAAAAAAAAGAAACGAGCTCTGGCCAGCAATACCAGCTTCTTCTCTGGCTGCTCCCCTATCGAAGAAGAGGCCCACTGAAGTTGGAGTCATCATCTCTACCCCCAGTCTGGCCTGGAAAATGCTTTCAGGTTGCAGCCAGAAGGGGTTTTTGTAATGACTTCTCTGGATTTCAGGTTTCTTGCTGTTGAAAAAAGGGACAGAGTGTTATGGAAAGGAAGGTAACCTTTGTTGGACGTTGGCCCTCAGTCTCCAGCCCCAGGTTACTGCTCTCTCTTCTCCAGAAGTGTGCTAAGCCACCTACTGAAGAGAGAACAACTGACCTTCCTAATGACTCATCAGAAACCAGCCCCCAGTACAATCTAGCTCTTTCTTATTTGTGAGTAGTTAAGGCTGTCTCCCGATGGGGATGAGACCAAGCTTTCTTACCTCTGGGTTGTCTCTGTTTAATGGATGAGCCTGGTCTAGGATGGAGGCCCGGCTCAGCTCTCTCACCCCACCTTAGGAATGGGGTTGGGATCTTTCTTGCCCTGACCCTCTCTGGATTTTAAATGTTCTAATAGTACGTTCAATTGTCTGCCATGTTACTGAAGTAAATGAATTATTTTTAAATGTTAAGTAAGTAAATAAACCTTAGCCCATCTACTGTTCGGGAAGATCCTTCTGTGCTGGAGGGAGAAATAAAATTTCAATCTGCATTCCTCAGCCTCTGGGAAAGATATTAAGGAGATTCATTGCAAGTACCCGAGCATCCCTCCCTTCTTGTGGCTGCCCTCTTTCCCAGAGTATAGTGTGGAGCATGATGTTGTATCTTTATGTTTTGCTACGCTAGGAAATTGGAATAATGTTGGTAAGGCCAGCGGCCTGACCTCCACTGTAGAACTTGCCTAGCCTCCAGATTTGAGAGGAAGAGATCAATTTACTAAACATCTCCACGTTCCTGCCACAATTTTATTTGCCCCTCACAAAAACAGCTCAAGGTAGATAGGTGTCCTTGTTTTGCAGATGAGGAAACTGGAGTACAAAAGAAGTTAAGTAACTTATCTAGAGTCACAACGTCAGTGAATAATAGAGCTAGGATTTGGACCCAGATCTAACATCCAAGCTCCTGTGTGACTCTCTAGAGTGCCAGCAGCAGCAGGTCCTAAAGCCCTGTAGCCTGATTTCTTGGTGTAGGAGGGGCGTTGGGACCACACTGCTGTCTAATCCCAGGACAGAACAGCACGGCTCCTTGCTTTCTCCTTCGACAGGGGAGAGAAGGGGAGAGGTTTACTCCTTACTATGCATCAGGGTTCTCCATCTCTGCTTAAAGCTGAAAGGGGGCCAGCCCTGGAATGCTATACACATTCTGCTGGCTAGACTTGTAGCCTTCTGAGTAGTTCACAAGCCCTGGGCTTCATATCCATGCATTCTGAATCCCAGACTCCTTCTCCCCAAAAAAGCTCACAAACCATCCCCAAGAACTCAAAAGCCAAGATTTCTCTAGAATCCACTAGAGTCCAAGCAAAGGAAATTGAACAACAACCTGCCTAGAATGAAGTCTGCAGAGGACTAGGTGACGGCTGGTCCTCCCTGGCCTCCTGCCAGCAAACAGCCCTGCTTCTCTTTGCATTTTAATGCCGAGGGAGCAAGGGAGCCTCTGCCATTGCCAACTAGAGCCTCTGGATACAATGGGAAGGCTGAGAGGCAGGGGGGCTGGCTCTTGGCATAAGAGAGCCAGTCTTCTCACTCTTTGAAATTCAGTGCATGTGGGGGCGGGGGAGGGGTAAACGGGCTTATCCCCAGAGAAGACATCCTTTCCCACCAACGCTGCCCTAGCCCCCAGACACTGCATCAGCCAAAATGTAGAGAGGGAAGGTCAATCAAACCAGCCCCCAGCCCCCAGCCTACCCAGACCCCTGTGCTTTAGTGCTAAGCAGACTCTACCACTTGCTAGCCAGCCCTTTCCTGCTGATGCTATAGTAACAGCATCTTTTGCATGTGTGCATCTTCCAAAAGCCTGTGACCCTAACATACTATACACTCCTCAAAGGATTCTTGTAAAGACACTTTAGATGCCTTGGGGACGAGGCAGCAGGAATGACGTATGTCTCAGCATGTCCTGAATGAGCATCTCTTGTCTGGGGTGATGGGGAAGGGGAGGGCTGCTAGTGTTACACGGGACCCACAAGGCCCATGAAGACCCTTGCTCCAGAAACAGGGCGACCTGCTACCCAGCATTGAGGAAGTAGCTTGCAGGTACATCTCTTATAAATGCACCTTGCAGAAGTGGAAGTAGGAGCCCAGGAGGGCAAGGAGGCTAATGAATCAAGGCTGTACTCCCAGGAAGCTTGAGACTAGATCAGATTTACACCACACACACACACACACACACACACACACACACACACACACACACACACATACACTCTTTCTCTCTCTCTCTCTCTCTCTCTCTCTCTCTCTCTCTCTCTCTCTCTCTCCTTTCCAGGGGACTGGCTGGGCCCCTTCTCACTGCCAAGTTGCAAAGTTGTGTGGTCACCTCCCCCCAGCTTCCCCGCCTGCCTGTGCCCTCAGCCCTCGCCTCCCTGAGCCAGGACAAAGGCCCAGCAGTGACTGGGAGGGGAACAGGAGGAGGGACAGAGGGAGATGGGGAAAGCTGCACAAAGGAATTCCTCACCCCAAGCCCCCTGACCGCCAGCAAGTAGAGAAGCAGATCTGCACTCCCTCCTCCTTCCTCCCTCCCATCTTCCCACCCAGGCTGGGCCCAGGCCACAGAGCAGCTGCAGGCCTTCTGAGAGGACCCGCACAGCCTCCTGTAGGTGGCAACAGTGCCACCTGTTTGACCGATGGGGCTAAGCCAAGGACTGGAAGAGAGAGGAGGCAGACAACTCGGAGAAGAGCTGAGAAGCAGCGCAGAGCAGAGAGCAGAGCAGAGCCGCCGCAGAGAAAAGGTGTGAGGGCTCGGGAAGGCTGGGGGCTACAGGCGGGAGCCGAGGGCGGAGGCCGGCTCCACCCGACAGGGGACTGGGCAGTGCCCCTGTCAGCTCCCCTGCCTGGGGTTTTCAGGCTGCTCAGATCCTGATCCCATCCTTCAGACAGCTCCTGGAGGGAGGCGGGACTCCGGAAGGCAGTGTCTGGGGTGCAGGGGTAGGACCCCTGGGGAGGTAAAAGATGTGGACCGGAGCCCAGGGAGGCTACTGCACCCCAGCCAGAGACAGGTACAGTCAGGGGTTTCAGGGGGCTCCTTTGGGGTTAGCTTCTTCCTGGGAAGGGTCTCAGGGAGGGGAGAGGTTTCCTTCCCCCGGTTCCAGCTCATCACTCCTGCACCTCCTATCCTAATTCTCCATTCCCGAGGCAGCACAGAGTAAAGAGGGCACTTTCCTCCTCGCAGGGGCGCAGCCACTGTGTACCCACCCCCAGACTTCACAGCCTCAGGGGAGCCCTTATGGCAAGGGGCCCTGTCCCTTAGACCAGAAACACAAGGTGCAGAGATCCCCTGCCCCAAGACAACCGCACGCCCCACACACGCATCACACACATGCTTACCTTTGCCCTGTGCTCGTTACACTTTCACCAAAGCTAAGTCAGAGGGTGGGGCCCCTGAGAGGGGACGGCGAGACTGGGTTTCTGGTTGGAGTTGGGGGGTGACGAGGCAGGATGACTGGGCAGGCAGTGACCCAGGCAAGCTGTTCCCCTCAAGTCTTCCTTTTTTTGGCAGTGCTCTGCCCCCTGGAAGGTGGACACGGAATCTTCCAGTCAGGGCTTTGTGATTTGCGTGCTCTCTGTATCCATAGCAACTGGCCAACAAGCCGGGCCTCCCTTAGCCCCGGGTCAGAACTGGAACCTCTGCTTCAGGTTGCTCCTGCTTCCTAGAGTGGAAGGGCAACTCAGTATGGGGCTGCCTCAAGCCTGGCCAGATCTGCCTCAACTTGCTGAACTGAGTTTGCCCCACCCTGGACAGTCTCTCCTGAGTCCCTACCCCTGAGCAGTCCATTCCCAGCGCTGGATGCTGTTAAATGGGGAGGAGCTGGAGAGAGTGGGTATACGTCCTGCCTGCAAAGAGGCTAGACCTCCTAGGTGTCCTGCTGACTTTCCAGGTATCAAGATTAGAGGGAAAGAAAGACTCTGGAGATTGTCCCCTTTTACCAGGCTTGGAGCCGAGGCTGCTCACCTCATCCAATCTGGCACTCCGGGCCTGCCCCATGACCTCTGTTGCTGAGCAGTGTCCCAGGCCTCTGCCCCTTCCCTGGGCTCCACAGATACACTGGGAGGGAAGCTGGGATCTGCCCTCTGCCAGGGTCCCTGATGGCCGAGTGTCCCTTCCCCCAGGCCTTCACCATGGCCGAGTCCCCTGGCTGCTGCTCCGTCTGGGCCCGCTGCCTCCACTGCCTGTATAGCTGCCACTGGAGGAAACGCCCCAAAGAGAGGATGCAAACCAGCAAGGTGGAGTAGGGATGGAGGGGAGGCTGGAAGTCAGCAGGCAGAGGCCCATTGGAGGGGATGAGGAGGCCAGTTGCACTCATAGGCAGCTGGGGGAAGGGGCTTTCTCTCCCCAGGAAGAAAATCTCCCTGAAATATGGAAAAAGCTGCCCCCAGAGCAGAGCAGCCTCACACACGGTGGGAAGTTCCCTTCAGCTGCCATCTGTTGGGGACTCTGATCTTGAAATAGGGATCAGCTGTGAACTTCTCTCCTGCCCCTTTGCAGTGTGACTGTATCTGGTTTGGCCTGCTCTTCCTCACCTTCCTCCTCTCCCTGGGCTGGCTGTACATCGGGCTCATCCTTCTCAATGACCTGCACAGCTTCAACGAGTGTGTCATGGATTCCCCCAGCCCTTCTTTAGCATGCATGTCAACCTACTCCCCACCCTGGGGCCCCTGGGTGCTCAACCCCCAACCTCAGGCATCCCCCATCCCTGCCCAGCCCCTCAAGCCCAGTTCTCCCGCTACCCAACTGCCTTAGAAAATCCCTCCACAAAATCATCCCAAGCCATGGAGGCCCTGGCCCCATGAGGGGCTTTCCCCTCACCCTCTTCTCGTCCTCCTGGATCCAACCACCCCTAAGTCCCCTCAGGCCACTGCTGACACCCCTTCTCCCGCTTGGACACCTCCCTCTCCCCTCCTGCAGATTCCTATTCCACCACTGGGGACACTGGATGGACTGGTCCCTGGCATTCCTGCTGGTCATCTCACTACTGGTCACATATGCATCCCTGCTATTGGTGGGTCCAGGGCCTATCCCACACCTCAGCCCTTCCTTCCTGCTCAGTTCTCTCCCCTTGTTCTCACCCTGGCCACTGAGGGGAAGGAGCTAATTCTTGGGTAGGAGGGGGTACCAGCCTGGGAGGCCCACCTCCGTTACCTTGCTCCCCTCTTAGTGCCTCATAAGTCCCACTACCCTCTGCCCCCAGCTCCTGGCCCTGCTCCTGCAGCTCTGTGGACAGCCTCTGCATCTGCACAGTCTCCACAAGGTATAGTGGGGATGGGAGTGAATGGGAGAGGGGCCACCGGGCCCAGTGCTTGGCTCGCTATTTGCTCAGGACCTCACGTTTTTATCCCTGGGATGGAGCCCAGGATCCAAAGTCCAGTAAATATTTGTTGAATGAAAGAAGGAAAGTGGATGTGTCAGGGGAAGGGAAGGGTGAAGTCCTTTCTCCACAGAATGAGGGAACAGCCCACATAACCATGAGCCCAGGTTGACAAAGAAGTCCCCATTCATCCCTGGCCCCCCAGGTGCTGCTGCTCCTCATTATGCTTCTTGTGGCCACTGGCCTTGTGGGACTGGACATCCAATGGCAGCAGGAGTGGCATAGCTTACGTCTGTCACTGCAGGTGAGTGGCTGATCTCCAGTGCCTAGGTGGGAGCCTTTGCCTGTGACCAACCCCAGATCATATCTTGCTCTTGATCCCCCAAGACCGCAGGTAGCTCTGAACTCCAAGTCAGGCCCCAAGAGGAAAGGAGGGATGGGCACTAGGAAGAAGAGCCCTGCTCACCAGCTCTTGTCCACAGGCCACAGCCCCATTCCTTCATATTGGAGCAGTCGCTGGAATCACCCTCCTGGCCTGGCCTGTGGCTGATACCTTCTACCATATCCACCGAAGAGGTGCCAACTCTGTGCCACCACTTGCCCTGACTACCCATCCACCCATGCTCCTGCCTCTTGCCACCTCCCTGGTTTCCTGCACCTGCACTTTGCCTTCTGCCCCTAGAACTCCCCCATTGCCCTTTCTCCAAAGCCTGTCCCCCACTCCCCACAGGTCCCAAGATTCTGCTCCTGCTCCTATTTTTTGGAGTTTCCCTGGTCATCTACCTGGCCCCCCTATGCATCTCCTCAGCCTGCATCATGGAACCCAGAGACTTGCCCCCTAAGCCTGGACTGGTGGGACACCGAGGGGCCCCCATGGTGAGCGTTGGGCAGAATGCTAGCAGGGTGGGGAGCGTCTGCTCCTCTGGGCTGCAGTAGCCAAGACTGTGGGTTCCTAGGCTCCCACTCCTCCCACTACCTGCTCGCTAATTCCCTTTCCCAGCTTGCCCCAGAGAACACCCTGATGTCCCTGCGGAAGATGGCTGAATGTGGAGCTGCTGTGTTTGAGACTGATGTGATGGTCAGGTGAGAGAAGCTGGGGCTTAGGGCAGCAGTCCCCAACTTTTTTGGTACCAGGGACTGGTTTCATGGAAGACAATTTTTCTATGGGGTCTGGGTGGTGGGGAGCTCAGGCAGTGAAGACTGCGATGGGGAGCAGAGCGGCTATAAATACAGATGAAGCTTCGCTTTCCCTCGCCCACCACTCACCTCCTGCTCTGCAGCCCCCTCCCCACCCCCCTTACTAAGTTTCATAGAAGACAATTTTTCCATGGGGTCGGGAGGATGGGGGAGGTGGAGCTCAGGTGGTGATGCGCAGCCTGGTTCCTAACAGACCACGAAACGGTACCAGGCCATGGCCCAGGGGTTGGGGACTGCAGGCTTAGGAGATCTTGGGGGCCTGTGGGACACAGCAGGGGAGCTCAGGAAGTGACCAGCCCCAGAGCTTGGCCCTCTGACACTCCTGTGCCCTCAGCTCCGATGGAGTCCCCTTCCTCATGCATGATGAGCACCTCAGCAGGACCACGGATGTAGCCTCTGTGTTCCCATCCCGAATCACAGCCCATAGCAGTGACTTCTCCTGGGCTGAACTGAAGAGGCTCAATGCTGGGACCTGGTTCTTAGAGGTGAGGACAGCCTCTGGGAAGATGCAGCCACCTGTAGGGGCACTCAGAGAAGGCAGAGTTCCTTTCATTGATAAGCATTTGCTGAGCCCTGTGCTGGGTGGTAGTAACACAGTCTGCTCTCAAGTCACTCCCACCTAGTAAGGAAGAGAGCCTAGGCAACAGACAATTAGAATAAGAAACCTAGAGCAATAAAAATATTTTTCCTGGGTACAGAGGAGAGAGAGAGAAGTCACTGTCGGGGTGGGTGTGGGAGAGGATGAAGAATGGATTCGCACAGGAGAGGAGGCATGAGCAGCGAGGTTTCTCATCTCAAGGCAGGGAAAGGGAATTCTAGGCAGAGGGAAGAGCACACGTAAAGCCCAGAAGTATGAAAAAATGTGTTTCCAGGGAAGAAAAAGCGACTCAGTGTAACTGGGAGATACAATTCATGGGAGCGGTAGGGAACAGAGGCTTGGTCTTGCTTGAGGGGCTTTGAATGCTGGGCCCAGAAGTGTCAACTTCAATCCTGTAGATGGTGGAAAATATTTAAAAGGATTCTTTATGTTTTCAGTTCCTCTTTTCCTGATTACAAGAGTAATACATATTTATTGTAAAAAAAAACATCAGAATAATAAAAGAAATAACATAGAAATAGAAGTCTCCCATAATCCAACTCCTCTGAAATATTCACTGTTAACAGTTGGATACACACACAGACAGTCCCCGACTTATGATGCTTCCACTTAACAATTTTTTGACTTCACAATGATGCGAGAGTGATACACATTCAGTAGAAACCATACTTCAAGTACCCACACAACAGTTCTGTTTTTCACTTTTAGTACAGTATTCAATAAGTTACATGAGATATTCAACACTTTATTATAAAATGGGCCTTGTGTTAGATGATTTAGCCCAATCGTAGATTAATCTAAATGTTCTGAGCAGGTTTAAGGTAGGATAGGCCAAGCTGTGATTATGATGAGTTTTGTCAAGATGTAACCCCATCATAAGTCAAGGTGCATCTGCATATACACACATATATATACATACTCTTTATTTTACACAAAGAGGATCATTACACAGACTCTTTTGCATTTGCTTTTTTTTCCCACTTAACTCTATGTGATGTCATACCAGAGTGATTAAGAAGAAGGGATGTCTGGGTTTGAATCCTGACTTCACCACTTACTAGCTGTGTGACCCGGGGCAACATTTCTTAGTTTCTCTGTGCCTCAATTGCCTCATTTGTACAATGGGAATACTAACAGTACCTAAGCAGTTAATACACATACACAAAGTACTCAGAACACGCCGGGCACATACTAAGTACTCAGTAAGTGTTAGATAGCTAGCTTTATCCATATCGGCAATTAGGAGGTGAGGTCATTCATTGATAATAAATAAGGAGAAGAGAGGAAAGTGGGCAGAGGCTTGGAATAGTTACTAGGGAGAATGGGTGAGGGAGCAAATCAAGAGCAAATAAAAGGATCGCTAAGCAGTGCTGAGAGTGAAAAATGGGACTACGGTGCCAAGAGTCCACATGGCGTACTCTGCCCATAGCAGTGCTCGGCCCCCAGTTCTAGGAGTGGAGGAGGCATACAGTTGCAGAATCGAATCAGAGTTTGGGAGTTGTAGGGCAAGTGGGGCGGAAGGGGAGTTGAGAGTGCTGTGGAAAAGTAGTTCAACCTGTGGACAGACCACGGGTACAGGACGTAGGTGCAGCCAGAAAGGGGCTGACGGACTGGGAGGAAACCAAAGGGTCAAGATCCCAGAGGTCTCTGCAAGACCAAAGAGAAGGTGTAGTGGGAGAGAGGAAGTTAGGAAACTGGAAGGGTAGGAGATTGAGATCATAGAATAAGGTATTAGATGGTCTGGAAAAAAAGGCCACAGTTGGGAGAAAGACAGACCCTGGCTTAGAGGTAGACAGAAGCTGGACACCAAGTGAAGATAGGATGGGGGAAGCCCTGGAGGCCTCTTCTGGTCTTGAAATAATTGTCCTTTCTTATAGAGGAAACCCTTCTGGGGGGCCAAGCGACTGTCAGGCCCTGATCGAAAAGAGGCTGAAAATCAGACAGTACCAGCATTAGAAGAGCTATTGAAGGAAGCTGCACTCCTCAACCTTTCCATCATGTTTGACTTGCGCCGACCCCCACAAAACCACACATATTATGACACTTTTGTGAACCAGACGTTGGAGACTGTGCTGAGTGCAAGGGTGCCCCAAGCCATGGTGATGTTGCCAGGACTCCCAAGGGCCCCCCTTTGTCCCCTCTCCCCACCCTGCCCTGCCTAGGTCATGATGATGATTTTGAGTCTGCCCCTTACCCTAGGGCCCCTCCTCCCCAGCTCACATACCCCATTCTGTGGTCAGTCCTCTCTGCTCCTGTCCCTGTCCCTGGAATCCCTAGGTCTTCCCCAGCTTCATGTCCATACTCCCTAAACCACAGGTCCTTTGGCTACCAGATGAAGATAGGGCTAATGTCCAACGACGGGCACCCAGAATGCGCCAGATATATGGACAGCAGGGAGGCAACAGAACCGAGAAGCCCCAGTTTCTCAACCTCCCCTATCAAGACCTGCCACTGTTGGATATCAAGTAAGTGCTAGAGGAAAGGAACCAAGGGGATCACATGAGGCTTACTGGCAGGAAAGAACCAATGCAGGGAGGGCAAAGGCTATTCATTCATTCATTCATACCACAAATATTTACTGAACACTTGCTATGTATCAGGTAGTATTTATTGCAGGCTTTGGGGACACAACATGAATAAGACAGACAAGGTCCCTGCTTTCATGAGACAGACGACAAACCACTTAAAATATATGCAAATTGAAAAGTGATAAATGTTATGAAGACAAAACAGGGAGATGTAGAAGAGTGACTGGGGTTGGGAGTGAGGGGCTGGGGCAGGGAGGAGGGCATAGCTACGTTAGGAAGAGTGCTTAAAGAGCTGATGTCTGAGATGAGGCCTGAAGGGTCTCAAGGAGCTAACTATGAGAAGAGCAGCAGGAACAGCAGCCTAAAGAGCAAGGGGAAAGTGAAGCTAGAGAGGTAGGCAGGGGCCAAATTGGGTAGGACCTTATAGGCCATGAGAAGGATTTTAGCTTTTATTCTACACCAAAGAGATCAGTGTAAGAGAGGATAGATCCAGGGGAGACAGAAGTGAGAGAATCCCAGATGCGAGCTGGGCCCCAGAAGCTGACCCAGCCAGGAAACATGACGGACTGCAAAGCATGCAGTTGCCAAGGTCTCTTATAAGGTCCTTGTGGTCAGATAGAAAAATGTGAACTGAATGATAGCCCAGTTATCCTAAGTATTTCTTTCCTCACGTTGTCATCATGGAGGAAACTATGACATAGGGTTTGGCTTGTCCTGGTCAATATCAACTGCTGATCGCGTTTCCAAAAGACGTGAATTGGTAACGAATACACTGATGATGGAATGGAGGCCCTGAAAGGTCTAAGTGCCCTAAAAAGATGAGCCAAATCTAGCAAGATGAAATGCAACAAGGATAGATGTAAAAACCTATATTTGGGGCCCAAAAGAATTTCAATTGCACAAAGACCAGAGAGGAGACACTGGCATCAGCAGGAACATTTATGAAAAAGACCAGGGCTTTGATTGAACAGTGTGCACAGTGAGTCTTCAGTGAGACATGACATTGCCAGAGGCTAACCTGACTCTGGGCTGCCTTCATACAGGTATAGTGCCCGGAAGGCAGGAGGAAATAGTTTTGCTCAACTCAAAGCTGGTCCAAGCCTATCTGGGATATCATTTTCAGAGCCAGGCCTCATATTTTCAAGGAACATTGATAAACTGGAGTAAGATGAGATTAGAGAGGCTCGTACAGGGAAGGAAATAATAACCCAGGACCCAAGAGTAATGGTTAAAGGAACTGGGGCAGTTGGGCCTGGAGAAGACTCAGGGAGACATGGCCTCTGTTCCTCACACCTCTGAAGGGCTGTTATGGGACACAGGGGAGAGATACATTTGTGTGGCCCCAGATGGCAAAGCTAGGACCCAGGGGTGGAATCTACCAGGAGACAGAGTTCAGCTACACAAAGAAAATAACTTTTGGTCAGGGGCTGCTACGCAAAGGTACAACCTCCTCGGCAGTGACATGAGATTCGACCATAGGCAGACGGCTGTCTCCCATGCCTCACGCACCGTGATTCTAGATGTTCCCTTTTCTTTCCCACCTTCACAGGGCACTGCACCAGGACAATGTCTCAGTGAACCTCTTTGTAGTGAACAAGCCCTGGCTCTTCTCTCTGCTTTGGTGTGCAGGGGTGGATTCAGTCACCACCAACGACTGCCAGCTGCTACAGCAGATGCATTACCCTATCTGGCTTATTGTAAGGACTCTGGGACTGTCATCCCTCCTCTTCTTTTCCCATCCCTGGTTCTTCTTAACCCTGTCCCTCTCTTCCCTACTTATTGCCCCCCATATACTACCCTTGGGGCTCTAGCCACCAAGAAAGGCCTTTTTCAATTCCCACAGCCCCCTCAAATCTACCTAATGATGTGGATCGTTACCAATTGTGTCTCCACCCTGCTGCTTTTGTGGACCTTCCTCCTCCAAGGGTGAGTGCTTTGTATCTCAGATTTCTGGGTCCTTACTTTCCCTAAGCCCCCGGTGATGAGGCTAATTCAGACTCATTTGTGCTACCTGGGGCTCGGGGTTTGGTCTGCTTAGTTCCCTCGAGATTCTTAGGCCCTTCCTTATACCACCAAATTGGCTCGAACCTGGGAAAGGCAGTTGGAGAATCCCTAGGGTTGGAAGGTCCTGCTTGAACCTAGCTGAACTCACAATGGGAAGCCTTTCTCCCTACAGGAGATGTGCTAAGGAGAGAAAAAGAACTGGTAAGAACTGTTCCCCCCCACACCTCATTTTTCCCCTCCTCTAGCCTTCCCCTTACTTACTCCCTATATGACCCACCTTCTCCCCACCTCCTCAGGCTTAGAAACAGCAGTGCTGCTGACGAGGATCAACAATTTCATAACAGAGTGAATGCCCTGCCCACCCACCACCCCCAACTGGAGTCTGAGCCTGTCTGCGCTGACCAACAGCAAGACGGGGAGAGTGGCTGAAGTGGAATGTCTCAGTGTAGTGGGTTGCGGTGGGGGGAACTTTACCAACAGGAGGTTTTGAACCATGAGGGCCTGCTTCCTAGATCATGAGCATGCCCCGTGCTGCTATGGAATCTGCTCCCCTTGGGGTTTTGACCTGAAGTGGTTGGGAAGACAGTGAGTCATGAGAAATTTCTCCCAAAATGAAACCAGAGCAGAGGAAGTAAAAGGGAGATTGCCAAGATAATGTCTCAGACTTGTGCGCACGTGTTCTTGCGTAGAAGGCACAGGGTGTGTCAGGGGTGGGACAGCTTGGAACAGTAACTGAAGGAGATGACAAAATGGCCTTTTCTGATGGAGACACCATCCCCACTCCATGTAGCGTCTCCCCCCGACCCTTGCAATTTAGCTGCTTTCCTGCCTAGAGGCTAGGAGCTAAAGAATCCATCTAGCCATGTAATTCTGTGCCTATGGGTGGCTTTTTGCTATGCACAGCCTTTTCTTCAAGACAGGTTGGTTCCTGTATCTTGTCGGTTACTCTGTTACTCAATGAATTGAATTCCCATTTGGTCACAGTCTAATCTTTTCAGTGCTGGGGTTGGGAAGAGGATGCACCTTATGTCTAGGGTTGGATGTGACACGACATTGAGAGGTCATCATGGGGAGATTAAGTCATCCCGGACAATGAAGGACAGCTGGAGAGTGGCCGCCACGGCGGGTTGGTGGGGGGGGCGGCGTTCCCAGTGGCCGAGGTGCACTGTGCAGGGTTGCGTTGTAGCTCCCCCTTGTGGTCACCTGCCCCAAGAAGAGGGCCACCTCCGTCGCCACCATGACGTATTTGGTGAATGCCACCTGTTTTCCTTGACTCCGGACTCTGGGGCACGGTTCGATTGCCACAAGTTTTCGCTCCTCTGGACTGCACACAGGGTCTGGTTTCCAGCCCAGCCTTCTCCTTGAGCGGCAAGTTTCCCAGCGTGTTTGCTGCTCGTGAGTTCCTGGACTAAGCAGTTGACGTGGACAGTGCAGAGCTGGCCCAGGATGAGGAATCTGGTAGAAGGGGGGAGGGGCTAAGGCAAAAAACAGGGACAGGAGGGGGCTCTATGGCTGACCCTACATGTGACCCTACATATGCATAGACATTCGCCCTGGTTCGTGTCTCTACACGAAGGGAAGCAGAATTAAGAAACTGGCCAGGGCAGGAGGTTCGATTCTTAATTCCTCCTCTCTCGTCAGACTGGGACCTAGGGCAGCACTGGCACCTCGCGACAAGACCCTACCCCTCGGTTGCAGGGCAGCCGCAGGAACTACAATTCCCAGTATGTCCGTTGCCGTTTCCGGTCTCAGGATTGACGGAGGCGAGTTTGAATGCGTGTTCCCGCCCCCTCCCCCCGGACCCCGCCCCTTCCCGCTGTCGCCGCCCCGCCCCTTCCATGCACACACATGCACGCACACACTCAGGCCGCCGTCCACGCCAACATACCTGGCCTGCAGATGGCGCGGTGGGCGGGGACACCGGCCTGCGACGCGCGGGGAGGCTGGCGGCATCCCGGGAGCGAGCACGCAGCTGCTGCCCCGGTCTCGGTCTTCTCGGGGGTCCACACCTGCGGGTACTGGGCAGCTCTCTTTCACACTCTGCCTTTTCAAGCTGCGATTCCTTACTTTTCCCTGTTCCGATTTCCTCCCCACCCCGCACCCCCACTCCAGTCAGGCCAACTACCGGCCTCAGCTCTGGGGCCCCCAGCCTATCAGGTACTGCGGGGTTCCCACCTTCACAGCACGTACCTCCTCCCCGATCCCCGCTTTCCTGTCCCTTTCCAGTCGCCCAGCCTCGAAGCCCTGCAGCCTCTTCCTCTCTTCACCTCCCAGCCTCACCCTGAAGACCTCCGGCATCTCCGCCCCCGCAGCCGCAACCTCTCAGCTCCCTGGCTCTCAGCTGCAGTCCTCTAACGTCAGCGCCAGGACTCCCAACCGGAATGCCAGCACCCATCCAAGCCCCCGACCCCTTGCTCCCAGCCCCAGTCTCGGGTACTCAGCCCTGAGCCCACACTGCAAATCCTTACTCTCTTCCCGGGAAGACTGGACAGCTCTAGCTCATTTAAGCTCTGTGAGGCCCCGGACTAGAGACTGAGACTGACAAAACCTTGTGGGCGGAGGGCCAGGGGGAGCTGCTCATTGGGGTTCGGGTTTAGTTGCTCTCAGTTATTTTTAGCTGCTGACTCACAGCTCCTGGCATCCGGGTTTGGGGCTAGCAGGCTGGGCTAGGGGGCTATTAATAGAGCAGAGAGGCACAGCCCCGACCCAGTTCAGTTTGGAAACACAGGGAACAAGGAGCCTCCCCCTGCCATCATGCCCTGTGGAGATGTCGTGGACTGAGGCGTAGCTGGGCCAGAGGCTCTCTGGCTGTCAGTTACCTCAGCCTGCTGTCTCTGCCTTGGAACTCCTGAGGGAAAGCCCACGAGGAGACTCCTGGGCACAGCTCTTCCCTAAGCTTACCATGGCTTGGGGCTCTGCCACACTGAAGCTTCTGTTGTATTAGCTGAGAGGTAAGAGATGAAGTCCCAAGTGGAGAGGTTATTTTGGCCAAGGCCTTGGCCTACTCCTGGGCCAGAATGCTAGGTTGCTGGGAGGAAAAGCTGTGGATTTCTGATCGCCAAGGGTCCTCATAAGAACGAGATGCTTCAGCATGGTCCTAACAGAGGAGGCACAGAGCTAGGGATCCCCAAACCAGACATAGAATTAGGAAGCTGCCGAATTCTATCTTTACCATCCTCCCATTCTTTTTATTTCTTTCCATTTTCTTGGGCTCTGTCCCTACTCACTGGGGTTCACAGACCTCATGATCTTAACCTTCTCTGTAGAGAAACCTAATTCAGGAAAGCCACTGAGGAACTTGTCCCCAATGAGGCATGAATGATCCTTTATATACTGTCATTCCCATGAGACCTTTTATTTTAATGGGCTAACAGAAGAATTTCCTAATGCATACATTGGGGGTGGTGGGGAAATCTTGATACCTTGTTGGACTAATCACCAAAATTATTCTCACCCATCCCCAATTTGCTAGAATTCCCATTGACTAAGGATGCACACTCACAAGGATGCCCCTCCCCTCTTGCAAAGCAGAACCTTCTGCCCTAAACCACCCAAGTCTCCAGCCCCACACAAAGACTGGGGTCACCCAATGAAGCTCTATTTTCAAGAATGAGCCCAGATTATCAGACAGCAGCGAGCCGCGCCGCTCCAACCGGGTCTACTTGCTAAGGGCGGAGGAGAGGCAGTAGAAGGAGAGAGAAATAGTCTGTCCTTGAAAATATCTTCCCTAAGTCCTCCATAGTCTCAGTCTCAGCGCAGGCCACCTGGTCGCCTAGCAACCAAAGTCGCCTGCAGGGGTGTGGGGCTGCTTTCTGCCCGTAGGGGGCGCCTGTCTCCCTGGGGTCTCAGGCTGGAGCTCTAGCAGTTGGGAGGGGGTTCCCTTGTTAAGTGTAAAAGTGTCTCAGTGTGGCTGATCTCCCAAGCTTGTCAACCCTGTCTAGTCTGAGTGCCAGAGATGTGGAGTGGAGAGAAGCTCACTATGAATCTGAAGGGATGTCACTCAGTCATTAAAAAATGAAAAGAAGGAGGGAAGGTGGGAGGAAGGGAGAAAGGAACCAATCAAAGGGGGTAGGGCAAAAAAAGGGGGAATGGGGTGCGGGGAGGGCAGTGTGGCCCTCTCCATTCACTCCAGGCTTAGTAACGCGTATTCCTCAAGCAGAGCAGTTCAGATGTAGAGAGGAATCTAGCACTCTTTTTTTTTTTTTTTTTTTTCACTCTGTTGCCTGGGCTAGAATGCCGTGGTGTCAGCCTAGCTCACAGCAACCTCAAACTCCTGGGCTCAAGCAATCCTCCTGCCTCAGCCTCCCAAGTAGCTGGGACTACAGGCACACACCACCATGCCCGGCTAATTTTTTCTTTTTTTAGTTGTTTGGCTAATTTCTTTCTATTTATAGTACAGACGGGGTCTCGCTCTTGCTCAGGCTGGTCTGGAACTCCTGAGCTCAAGTGATCCTCCCGCCTCAGCCTCCCAGAGTGCTAGGATTGCAGGCGTGAGCCACCGCACCCAGCCTAGCACTTTATTGATAAACTGCTGAGCATAGAACAGACTTTAAGCTCCTGGATTACCAGCCTAGCCTAGATTTGGTCATTAAGTAAGATATTCATTAATTCGTTCGTTCATTCATTCAAATTAACACTAACCTACTAGGTACCAGATGGTGTGCTAAGTGTTCTACATTTAATCCTTACAAGAACATTATGATTATTTCCATTTCACAGATTAAAAAACTTGAGTCTCAGAGAAGTTAAGTAATGTCCAAGGTCACAAAAATAGAGACTGAGTTGGGTCTGATTGAGAAATCACTGTGTGCCAGGGTCGAAGAATATAGAAAACAAGACACTTCTCTCTTTTCTCTATCTAATAAACACCTAGTCACCCTTTAGAACCAAGGTAAAAATGTCATCTCTTTTGTGAAACTTTCCTTAAGTCCCCTCCCCCAATAAGTAGAGCTGATAACTTGCTTTTTCTGTACACCCCTCTGAAGTAGCAGTTTTCACAGGTATTGTAATGATCTGCTTCCATATTTCCATTTCTCTAACTTTGAGCTGCTCGGTGGCAGGGCCTGTGTTCATATTCAGTTGGATATCTAATAGACATCTCAAGCTCCACATGTTCAAATCTAAACACCTGGTCTTTTCCCCCCAAATCACCCCTCCTAAAGCTGTCCTCGTTGCAGATGATGGCAATTGCACCTTTGCAGTTGCTCTGGCAAAAAATCCTGGAACCATACCTTGCATTTGCTGATACACTCCATCAGCAAATCCTGTTGGCTCTCCCTTCAAAAGTACACCCAGAATCATTCAACCACTTCTCATCACCTCCAGTGCTACCACCCCGGTCCAAGACACAATTACCTCTCAGCTGGATCACTTCAGTAGCCTCCTGACTGTTCCTACTGCTTCCACCCTTGCCTTCTGCAGCCTATTTTCCACAAAGGAGTCAGACCAATCCTGCTAAACCCAAGTCACCTCATGTCAGTTGTCTGCACAAAACCCTTCAATGGCTCCCCATCTCTCTGAGAATAAAGCCAAAATCTTTACAATGTTCTAAAAGGCCCTGCACAATCTGGTCCCCTATTAAACCTCCTAGAACTCTCCCACTCCCTCACACTGTTGCAGCCAGTTGGTTCTCCTTGCTGTTCCTTGA